TGAAAGGCTGTGAGGAGGATGGAGAATTGCAGTGAATCATGGAAAGAGACATACATAATTTTAGAAAAGACTAGGCAAGTAAAAAAGAAAAGAATCTAATTAGTCAAGAGATTAGTTTCAATTAAAGTTTAGATATTGGAATATTGGGGAAGAGACATGCATTAGGAAAGGCATTTTCATTAGAGATGTATGAAGACTAAATTATCTGCAGATTCAGATAATCCATGAATAATTCCAATTACCTTCTTTTAAGAGAAACTAGAAGTATGAAGAAAGGATCTCTCAGGGGGATAATAATACAATTCCTTTCACCTCTAGGTTATCAATCATTTTAGACTCTGGAACTAGGTTGTATAGTCCTACCCCTACCACCCCCCAAGCACACAAACACTAACAACTTGGCTGTTCAGTGCCATAAGTAAAGAGATAATTAGTCTTAATACAGGCGTGCCTATTATGGGAACTTTACCACAACACTGAAAAGTAGAGCAAGCGGAGTAATGAATGAATACAAGCAATGAAGCTGTTAGTGACTTATATAATACACAAATAAACATGACAATATCTGTATGAAGCTTTCTGAAGTAATTTTTAGAAAACAAAGCATTTGGGAGACATTCGTGGAACTTAATGTATTATTCTCTCCTAAATAAATAAATACATAAAACACAATGCAGTTTCTCAAGGCAATTTCACTACTTTTTTTTTGGTATAGCATCAACATCACAGTAGATGCTTAATTGGATGGAGGGGGGGGGGGGCGCGTTTTCTGAATATTGCAGACAAATCTAGTAGTACAACCAGAAAATGGTGCAAATACTTTTTTTAATGACAAGAGCAACTAAATATGAATAATTGACTGTCAGTCAATCTGGGTTCGTTGCCCACTGTGTATTCTTCCCAACCCTGCACAGCTCAGATTCCCCATGCTTATTGTTTCCTATATACCTATGGGTTCAAATCATACAGATCAAAGAGTGTAGGAAAATGAATTCTTACCTAACTGTGGTTCATGCTGCAACTGTACTCTAGGCTGTACTCCAAGGAAGTTTAGACATTCAAAAACCCTAAGTGAAAATAATTCAACTAAATCAACTTCTAAAACATGTTGTGTTTGCAGCATTAGATGCACCCTCAGGTTACAACTGCATTCGTTTGATTTGTGCAATTTGTTCTACAGCAGGGAAGGACCAAATGGCAGATCCGACTGGCAATTTGACTTGATTTCCCAACAGCCCCTGCTTGCATTCCTCTGGCAGGTCTTCATGGAGACCCCCAGGACTGGCAGGGCCATGACAATGCGGGGCCAGGGTCTCCACAGAGACCGGCCTCAGTGGTGTGCTGGCAGGGCGCCTGGATGGGTGGGAAGATGCTCCAGGGCTGGGGCCAGGATCTTGCAGTGATGACAGTGTGGGCTGGAGCCAGTACAGAGCCACGATCTGCTGCCTGAACACCCCTGGGGCAGCGGATTGCAGCTCTGCCTTGGCCCTGGCCCACACTGTCACTGCTGCAAGATCCTGACCCTGGCCCCAGAGCAACTCACTGCCTAAAACATACGTGTTTGGTTGTTTTTCACACAGAGAGGGAGATGCACCTAAAAACATCAGGGTTCTCCTTTTAGGCTATAAAAAGAGTCAGGTTTAACCGGAGGTGGGTGGGAGGAAGGAAGGGAGGGGAGCGCTGATTGCCTTACATTTTGACTTGCATCAACACAGGTTTGTAGGACAGTTGTTTACATGCACAGTTTGAATGGCAATTACATGGATTACTACTCCAGGGAAAAGTGTTATTCCAGATATTTCACAAGTACTTAATGGGGGACAAAAGGGTTGGCCTTGTGTAGGATCCCAGGATAAAAGGCTTTGTTCAAGGAGAAATCCAAAGTCTCTATTTACCCTCAGAGAAAAGACTACAGTGTCAAAAACTCTTTTGACATACAAAAAACTAGAACTCTTGGTTCCAAAATGATACCTTTTTTTAGACTAATTGGGAAATCACAAGAAAATTGTCCTTTTCTGCAAACTTTCAGGATCAAAGTCTCTTTGTCAGGCCCTGGGAAAAGTATAGCTGGTACAAGATGGCAAAAAGTCCCCATAGGTAGGAAATAAACTTCATTTTTGCACAGAGGGAGCTGAAGATTGAAGGTTGTCTCCCTCTGGGTCCATGAGAGTGTCCTTGTGAGCTGGAAATTCCAGTTTCCATGTACAGAGAAGGGCAGTCAGTGCTCAGCTTGGTCAAAAATGCTCTGTGTTTTAAACACAAGCTTGAAAAGCCTTTCATGTTCTTGGAAGATATGTTGGCAAGGGCTTGGGAGCACACATACCAAGGAGAAAAGCTACAAAGTTAGAGATCAAACATTTGAAAATTTTGGACTGTACACATATATAATAATTTTTTCTGCTCTCTCAAGTGTGAAATTAGTATTCCTACATCTTACTGACTTAAACCATTTTTTTTTGTGCTGTGGTTGTCCGACTGGCATTTTTCAAATCTTCTTCTGAGACTTACTTTATTAAACTCACCTGTATATGAAATTGGGAGTCATTGTGGATTCCTGACAGATGGTCCTCCTGGCCTCATTTAAGCGAATTAGTGAAAATTGTCTGTTGTGCTGTATTGTTTTGGAGTCTTCAGTATAATTGTGAAAATTGTAAGTATGAAAAAGTTCAGTCTGCTGTGTTCATAGAGTTTTGACAAAGCATTGTTTCTTACTTGTTTGAAGTGCTGGGTAATTTGATTTATTTTGTCAGGATTCACAGGACCAGGTCCTGAGATAAATGGGTCTGTTTCCATGACAAGTGCTCACAGGACCAATACCCCAGGTCCTAAAAGGTGCTGCATGCCTGAAACATCCATTAAAATTTAAACGGAATTCTGATGGTGCCCAAGGCAATTTAATATATGGAGATTGCCCAAGACCATGATCCAGACTTCCAAAGACATCATAAAATGTAGGCCCCTATGAAGAAGCAACACCCAGAGCACTACGTTCCCTCTGCTCTCCAATGCATCCCTTGTCTGACATGTTTCCATACCAAGGCAATAAGTTAAAGATGTCTGTTCTCCAGACTGCCATTTGGGCATTGGTCCTTACATTGTGAATAATGAGATGTCTGGTTGAGGTCTGCATGACAAAGGAAACAGGTATATGCTGTATGTTGCATCTGGCTCAGTCCAATCTCCTCCCCAGAACACCAATCCAACTGCATCCCCAGCAACCAGAAGCAGCAGCTCATCTATGGCTAGCTTCCTCAGGCTAGTACTGCCTTCCGGTGAGGTGTAAAAAAATATCTCCATAACTATGCCCTAGCAAATAAAAAAGTAGTAGGCTTGTTTCTTCCACACCAAAGTAGTACCCGAGATGCCCAGAATATGGTAGGGGGTATCTGGTGTTGAGGGACCCCTGTTACCAAGTCCAAAGGGTTGCTGTGGACTCCTCATCGATCAGGAGGCAGCCCTGAGTACTGGAAATAACAGCTGTTAGATGAGTAAATGGTAAAGCCTTGTGCTTAGGCACATGGATCTAGTGAGAGGGCCAATATTAGAAATGCTTATGGTAGGGCAGAACAAGCCATTGTGGCCCCAAAAGTTAGGCTCAAAAGCTATGCTGTGGCTCTGGCCTGGCCAAAAATTGGACCACTACTGATGGCTGCCTTCTATTAGAACTTAATCATTCTTCTCTTTG